GTTCAATATTATACAGCAATTCAAAAAGTACCTTTTGAAGAAATAAAAGTATGAAGAAGTCCCCTTTTCTAGAAAATTCAAGAAGTAACTTTTGAAGAACGAAAAAGTAGTAAATAGTGCCCTTTTATAGGTTTTCACTTAATCTTCCATGTTTCTAGGCCATAACAATACTTTGTTTTGGTTTATAAGGAAGCAAGTACAACACCAAAATTTACCGATTATTATCTGCGTTGTTGTTGTTTGCATATACGAAAAACCAAAATTGTTGATGAAAGTTTTCAGAAGTTGTCTCAGATTTTTGCTGATATATTCGTTAATTATGAACTGATTTTGCTTATTTTAAATAGGAAACTTCTTGAAAGTATGTTTGACAGAATTTCTGAAGATATCAGAAAATTGACAGACAGACAGACAGACAGACAGACAAACAAACAGACAGAAAGACATACAGACATACATAGCTTAATCAACTCCGCTATCTATAAGGACTCGGAATATATATATTCTTTATAGGATCGGGAAATTATATTAAAAGAAGTAAAAAAAGTTTTACTTTATAAACGTTTTATAAACAAAATTTTGTATGGACATTTTGTTTTATAAACTTTTTGCAAAATCAAATGTTATTTATGAATATGGGGGTTTATTTTTACGACCTAAGATTTGATGGTGGTTATTTACTCTTACTTGTTCTTATGTTATTCATTACTCTTTGTCGTTGTTTTAGTTAACTGTTAGTTAGCAATTAAGCAAAATTTTATCTCAATTGATGCCTAATTAAGATATTTATGACTGTTTAATATATATTCCGATGGGTCACTTGTTAGGGGGCTATATAAACACATGGACCAATCCAGACCGTTTTCAATATCAAACAGTGCCTATCAATCAAGAATATTTGTGCAAAATCAGCTTCTCTTTGCCCATCGGACAGACGGACTGAAATGACTAGAATATTTCTATGGCTCTTAGACAAATATTTCGATGTGTTACAAATGGAATGACAAATTGATAGTGGATATAAAAATAGGATATTGGCTGTATTAAGGTAAAAGTCAAATTGATAAAAAGTTCATTTTTTAAAGTTATAAGCATTAAAAGTTTTGTTTTTTAATGAAGGTATAATAATACTAGATGACTTTGCTTAAATAACTTAATAAAAATTAAATTTGTTTCCTTAAATAACATGCTTAATAATAGTTTTACCATACAAAACCCTTAATAAGCTCAATGAAAACCTCTAAAACTTATAGTTTTTAATGAAGCATTTTATATGCAACACACAGTGTCAGAATATGTTGAATGTGCAGCAAAATTTAAATTTGCAAATTTTTATATGATATTTCGTGAAACTTGCAAATCCTACACACGACACATACACAAAAAAAATCCTTTAATAAAACACGCACAGTCATAAAGAGGTAGTTATTGTTGTTGTTTGTTATAATACTATAGTTTTGACAAAACGAAACGCCTAAAATCAAAAGAGTTAAGCGACAAACTTGAAAAAACTAAAATTGCTACCGTTTTCGTTTTTTTTTCTGTATTTTGACTGAATTTTTGTCTCAATGCATAATATGGCAAATATGGCGTATACAGACATCACATTAAATGTGTAATTTTAGGTCATTTTTTTTTTTTGGACACTTACAGATATGCGTGCAATGATTTCACAACAACATCCTCGAGGTTTTCAATTTCAGTTAAATGTTGTATTTTTAAGTCTTTTTTTTTTTGTTCATTTCAGGGCAGCACAAGTTTGAGGCGGTCAGGTGTTTGTTTGTAACTTGCACGTTTATTTAAATTTATGATTTTAGGAAGCATTTTGTTTGCAGTCCATAACACTAACTCAGCAACCAAAATAACAAATTTAATGTGACAACAGATTTTTAAGATGAAAAAAAAACATGGTTAAATGTAATAAAAATTTCTTAAATTTAGCATTAAGGTAAATTTTAAAATTTTCGCTTTTATTTTGAACATTTCAACAGCTTTTTTGTCTGATGTCATTAAGAAATATGTACTCAAAAATATGTTTAATGATTTTGATTTTTTGGTTTCAGCTTTTGGCTAAATTTTGTCACTTGGTTTTAGGTGTTTTTAATTTGTTTTATAGGTTTTTTTCTTTAAAATATTTTCATAATTTCTTGTGATTAATGCTTAACGGTAGCGCAATACTCTAGCTACAAACTACTGTTAAATTTTATGCCAGGCATTAACAATTATTATGATTTTTATTTAAAAATATTGTTTAAATTGCATTGCATGCCTTAATTTCATTATGTTGTCGCTGGTTTCTTTTTGCTCGTATTTTAAATGTTTTTGGTTTTGTTTCAGTTTAACTTTAAGAAGCTGTTGTTGTCATGATTTTTATTTTGGTCATTGCTTATGTTTTTTTTTTTATTTTTTTTTTTTGTTATATCTCTGTACACAAGTCCGTCCGTCTGTTGGGTTTGTAAAAAAAGTGTTAAATTTAACAATCGTGAGAAAAGAATTTTATACATTGTATTGTTTTTGCATTTATATATTTTTTCTTATTTTTTCAACTTCAACTTCGACTGAAGGTCATTTTGTGTGTGTGTTTTTATATGGGTTTTAACGATAATTCCTGTAAAGGGGGGAATTTTTGGTTTTATTTGGAAATAAATTGGTTGTAGGTGCAGTAGAGGTTTAGCACATGTTACTGTTATTAATGATTTTTCTTTTGTAAATTTTAAATATCAATATATTTAGAAGATTTGTTAAAAAGAGTGAAAACAAACGATTTGAGGCACAAGTGTTGGGTAAAGCAAATTGTTGTATTTTTTTATTTCTATTTAAAATAAATGTAAATTAACATTTATATTCTAGTCTTATTATCTTGATTTGAATAAATTACTATGTATTTATCGACACCTGCGCTAAAAGAAATTTGTTTTTCTTAGTACTAAGGACAGGGTATAATATAATGATTTCTGGACAAGCCTACACTGTTTTAAATCAAAGACTAAGGTATGTAGTGGATTCAGCTGCGCTTAATCTGTTCATACATTTTGCCTTTATTTTACAAAATTGATTAAAAATCTGCCATAATTGCTGAGATATCATTCGTTGAAATAACGGACGGACGGACAACTTTAATCGAATCAGAAGTGAGTTGGAGTCAACAGGAGTCAACATCCGTAGGAACATAGTAGAGAGCGAGCGAGCGAGCTAGCGAGCGAAGCGAGCGAGCGATCGAGCGATAGCGAGCGAGCTAGCGAGCGAGCGAGCGAGCGAGCGAGCGAGCAGCGAGCGAGCGAGGCGAGCGAGCGAGCGAGCGAGCGAGCGAGAGCGAGCGAGCGAGCGAGCGAGCGAGCGAGCGAGCGAGCGAGCGAGCGAGCGAGCGAGCGAGCGAGCGAGCGGAGCGAGCGAGGCGAGCGAGCGAGCGAGCGAGCGAGCGAGCGAGCGACGAGCGAGCGAGCGAGCGAGCGAGCGAGCGAGCGAGCGAGCGAGCGAGCGAGGCGAGCGAGCGAGCGAGCGAGCGAGCGAGCGAGCGAGCGAGCGAGCGAGCGAGCAGCGAGCGAGCGAGCGAGCGAGCGAGCTAGCGAGCGAGCGCAGCGGAGAGAGCGAGCGAGCGAGCGAGCGAGCGAGCGAGCGAGCGAGCGAGCGAGCGAGCGAGCGAGAGAGCGAGCGAGCGAGCGAGCGAGCGAGCGAGCGAGCGAGCGAGCGAGCAGTCGAGCGAGCGAGCGAGCGAGCGAGCGAGCGAGCGAGCGAGCGAGCGAGCGAGCGAGCGAGCGAGCGAGCGAGCGAGCGAGCGAGCGAGCGAGCGAGCGAGCGAGCGAGCGAGCGAGCGAGCAGCGAGCGAGCGAGCGAGCGAGCGAGCGAGCGAGCGAGCGAAGCGAGCGAGCGAGGAGAGCGAGCGAGCGAGCGAGCTAGCGAGCGAGGAGCGAGCGAGCGAGCGAGCGAGCGAGCGAGCAGCGAGAGAGCGAGCGAGCGAGCGAGCGAGCGAGCGAGCGAGCGAGCGAGCGAGCGAGCGAGCGAGCGAGCGAGCGAGCGAGCGAGCGACGAGCGAGCGAGCGAGCGAGCGAGCAGCGAGCGAGCGAGCGAGCGAGAGAGCGAGCGAGCGAGCGAGCGAGCGAGCTAGCGAGCGAGCGAGCAGCGAGCAGCGAGGAGCGAGCGAGCGAGCGAGCTACGAGCGAGCGAGCGATCGAGCGAGAGCGAGCGAGCTAGCGAGCGAGAGAGCGAGCTAGCGAGCTTGCGATCTATATCTATCGATATCTAGCTATCTATCTATCTATCTATATCTCTATCTATCATCTATCTATCTATCTATCTATCTATCTATCACAGGTTTCCATATTCTCTTCGAATACCCTGCCCTAGATGACAAGAGGAATATATTTATGGATAATACATTATATCCAACCATGGTGAATTATCTGGATCCAGACTACGATCCTTTACGATATCTCAGGTTGGATATAATACCACATTAATTTATACTTTGATATATCTGGCGACTAATGTAGTCTTGTCAAAACAGAGTTATTACGACGCTACTTCTAAGTTAGCCCGTACTAAACTAACCAATCAAGTTATTTATAAAAATTATTGCGAAACTTATTTTTGATTAATTTTTACTCCGACTCGAACTTTTAAACTTCTTTTTTCCTTTGAGTAGTACTTCTACAAAATTCTGTTACCGGCGATAATCTAATGTTCATAGAATCTAAGTTGACCAAAAAACAATACTAAACTTAAAGAATACACTTTGCAACTTTACTCCCTAAAGGAAATTCTAACTTTCCACTTGTATTTGGCCGAAGAACATGACATACTACAAATACAAACAATTAATTAAAACATAATTGTCCTAAAAGTATTTGACCGCTTAACATGCGAAAGTAATAATTTACATGCAACATAATTCCCTTATGTGATGTCTTTCACAAACACACGACAATTGAAACGCACAATTAATAATAATTTGAAGGACAAAACTTCATTTGAACTAAGAGCCAACACGTATTAGTGTCACCATGACGTTTAATGCAACAGCAGCGTCAACTTCTATATTCATAGGATTTTTGGAAATATTAACACAGGAACATGAATACGGTTATAAATTAATGGAATTGGCCAATTGGTCAAGAGAAGAACGTTATTATCATACCATCATTTATATGAGTCATAGTGTTGAACGGGACCAAGATGGTTATGATAAGGATATAATGCTAAAATATTTAATGAGTGAAAGTGTTATACCAGTTATTAATTTAGAAGAAAGTTCAGCATATAATTTATGGAATATATACAATCACCGTTATCTGGCTATAGTACAATTGAATGGAATTAGAAAGCAGGATCAAGAAATTTTAAAGACATTGTGGAAAACTTTAAAACGAAATTTATTAACCAGATTGATATTAATGGTGAGCGGGTCTGAAGGTGAGGAATATATAACCAATATAATGAAATATTGCCTTAAAAATAAGGCCATTAATGTGGTGATGATTAATAGAAACTTAATGTTGGATGTCGTATATAGAATGCAAGCTTTTCCCAAGTTCAAAGCTGAGTTAGTAAATATACAAGAAAATCATACTACACTTTTCATTGATCAAGTCAAAAATATGCATGGCTATCCTATGAGTTTGGTTTTGAATAATATCAGCACTGCGAGTTATGTATTGAGAGAGTTAAATGGAAAAATTATACTGGGAGGCATTGGAGGACATTTCTTTAGAGCTTTCGCCCGCAAACATAACTTAACTCAGATATTTCCGAATTTTAATCAATCACACAAGGAAATGTTAATTAGTGAAATGAATGCTTTAGTGGAAAATGGCACATATGATGCCTCAACTGAACTGGTGGTTACTAATTATTCCAGTTCTTTAGTTTTTACTAATACCTACGATTATTTTGATTGGTGTCTGATGGTGCCACTGGAGAGTTCTGTGCCAGCTTATAGTTTTTATGTAATGGTTTTCGATACGGTCAGCATGGTTTTGATTTTAGTGGCTTTCATATTATTTTCCCTAGTCTTGGCTGTTACTTATATAGTGAAAAAGGAACATATTATTTTACATGAACTACTCTTCAATATCTATGTACTCAATGGTCTTTTGGGTCAACCTTTCAAAGCGGAGCGTTATTTTTCGGGTGTGCGCAGTTTACTTTTTATGCTGATTTGCTTATCCGGTTTGGTGTTCAATACCACATATGTCACCCACTTGCAAACCTTCAATGCCAGTCCTCCCATGAAACATGTCATAAGAACAAATGAAGATGTCATTGCTTCGGGCTTGCATATTGCTATGGTCGAAGAAGACTATGCCGATCTGCTGAAAGCCTTTAATGTACCCAATTATTTTAAGTCAAGTGTAATAACTATTCCCTCATTTGCCGAATTTTATAGTCTGCGTAATAACTTTGATAGTCGTTATATATATCCGGTACCATCGGATCAATGGACCCCCTCTATGAAGCTCAACAGAGATTCTTTTCTAAATTTAAATATCGTTTAACAGATATTTGTATAGTCAAAATGTTTGGCAAACAATTCGCTTTGCAGCCCAATTCCCCCTACGAGGAGGCTATGAACACTCTAATCGGCCAGGTTTAAAGAGGCTGGTCTGGTTTTGCATTGGAAGAAATGGCATTTTTAGAAGCTGTTGAAATGAAAAAGATCAGTTTAAATGATACGAGTTCCATAACAACATTTGAACCCATGAAAGTGGAAGATATGAGATTACTAATGTTTTTATTTCTAATTATTGTAATTTTATTATGCATTTGTTTTTTATTTGAATTATATTGGCCATATCGTGGTAAATATATAAAGAAAATGTTAAGATTAATGAGAAAGATATATAAGTTTTATATAAACAAATAAATCTAAGTATTTAAGTATTAAATTGTAAATTTATTGTGAGGGATTTGGGTTAAATGCTTTGAAAAACTCTACTGTGGTATTTATTAAAAACTGTTAAAATGGTAAAATTTTCTTAGTAACACAAAATAAGTCGTTATTTTAACAAGAGGATGACATCCTTTTTTCAGTCAGTATATAGTAGTCATTGAAAAGTAACCTGATGAGTAAGTACAAGACATTGTAATGTTTGTCTCTTAAAGTAAGAAACTAACCAACGAGGACTATGAAACAAGGAGACTAACTAACTAATTAACTAACTAACTAACTAACTACTAACTAACACTAACTAACTAACTAACTCTAACTAACTAACTAACTAACTAACTAACTAACTAACTACTAACTAACTACTAACTAACTAACTAACTAACAAATTAACTAACTAACTAACTAACTAACTAACTAACTAACTAACTAACTACTAACTAACTAACTAACTAACTACTAACTAACTAACTAACTAACTAACTAACTAACTAACTAACTAACTAACTAACACTACTAACTAACTAACTACTACTAACTAACTAACTAACTACCTAACTAACTAACTAACTAACTAACTACTAACTAACTAACTACTAACTAACTAACCTAACTAACTAACTAACTAACTAACTAACTAACTAACTAACTAACTAACTAACTAACTACTAACTAACTAACTAACTAACTAACTAACTAACTAACTAACTAACTAACTAACTAACTAACTAACTACTAACTAACTAACTAAACTAACTAACTAACTAACTAACTAACTAACTAACTACTAACTAACTAACTAACTACTAACTAACTACTAACTAACTACTAACTAACTAACTAACTAACTAACTAACTACTACTAACTAACTAACTAACTACTAACTCTAACTAACTAACTACTAACTAACTAACTAACTACTACTAACTAACTAACTAACTAACAAATAACTAACTAACTAACTAACTACTAACTAACTAACTAACTAACTACTAACTAACTAACTAAACTAACTACTACTAACTAACTAACTAACTAACACTAACTAACTAACTAACTAACTAACTAACTAACTAACTAACTAACTAACTAACTACTAACTAACTAACTAACTAACTAACTACTAACTAACTAACCTAACTAACTACTAACTAACTAACTAACTAACTAACTAACTAACTAACTAACTAACTAACTAACTACTAACTAACTAACTAACTAACTAACTACTAACTAACTAACTAACTAACTAACTAACTACTAACTACTAACTAACTAACTAACTAACTAACTAACTAACTACTAACTAACTAACTAACTAACTACCTAACTAACTAACTAACTAACTAACTAACTAACTAACTACAACTAACTAACTAACTAACTAACTACTAACTACTAACTAACTAACTAACTAACTAACTAACTAACTAACTACCTAACTAACTAACTAACTAACTAACTAACTAACTAACTAACTAACTAACTAACTACTAACTAACTAACTAACTAACTACTAACTACTAACTAACTAACTAACTAACTAACTAACTAACTAACTACTAACTAACTAACTAACTAACTAACTAACTAACTAACTAACTAACTAACTAACTACTACTAACTAACTAACTAACTAACTACTAACTACTACTAACTACTAACTAACTAACTAACTAACTAACTAACTAACTAACTAACTAACTAACTAACTACTAACTAACTAACTAACTACTAACTAACTAACTAACTAACTACTACTAACTACTAACTACTACTAACTAACTAACTAACTACTAACTAACTAACTAACTACTACTAACTACTAAACTAACTAACTACTAACTAACTAACTAACTAACTAACTAACTAACTACTAACTAACTAACTAACTAACTAACTAACTAACTACTAACTAACTAACTAACTAACTACTACTAACACTAACTAACTACTAACTAACTAACTAACTAACAACTAACTAACTAACTAACTAACTAACTAACTAACTAACTAACTAACTAACTACCTAACTAACTAACTAACTAACTAACTAACTACTAACTAACTAACTAACTACTTAACTAACTAACTAACTAACTAACTAACTAACTACTACTACTAACTACTAACTAACTAACTAACTACTAACTAACTAACTAACACTAACTAACTAACTAACTAACTAACTAACTACTAACTAACTAACTAACTAACTAACTAACTACTAACTACTAACTAACTAACTACTAACTAACTAACTAACTAACTAACTAACTACTAACTAACTACTAACTAACTAACTAACTAACTAACTACTAACTAACTAACTAACTACCTACTACTAACTAACTAACTACTACTACCTAACTAACTAACTAACTAACTAACTAACTAACTAAACTAACTAACTAACTAACTAACTAACTAACTAACTAACTAACTAACTAACTAACTAACTACTACCTAACTAACTAACTAACTAACTAACTAACTAACTAACTAACTAACTAACTAACTCCTAACTAACTAACTAACTAACTAACTAATTACCTACTACCTAACTAACCTAACTAACCTAACTACTAACTAACTAACTAACTAACTAACTAACTAACTAACTAACTAACTAACTAACTAACTAACTACTAACTAACTAACTAACTAACTACTAACTAACTAACTACTAACCTAACTAACTAACTACTAATACTAACTAACGAAAGAGTTAGTTATGGGTTGTATTAATAATATTACAACTATATTACGAGTATTTTTTTTGTTATTTGTCTTTAATTATATTTAAAAAGGTTTAAATTTTACTTACAATGTTATAAAGCTACGTTTCGGACAAATTGCAACAAATGAAATCGTTTTTTTGTTAATATATATCATTTTAAACTAAAAGGTTACCTTTTGAAAATACTTACTGCCACTTCCATTAAAAAAAAACTTAAAAAGTATTCCCTGTCCAATTAATCTCATTACAATTTAACATCAAAACAGTAGCCAAAAATGTTTGAGGTTCATTCGAAATGCAAAATAAAATTATTCTTAATGATGCTTCTCTTAATTACCAGTATTTAAGAAAATTATACACATTTGTCATTGTCTTAATTAGGGGAATTAAAGGAAAACAAAAACATTCGTCTTTATAATAAAAAAAGCAGTTAAACTAAAATTTTAACAAATAACAATTAAAATAAATTTTGTGTCAGTTAAAAGAAGTGAACATTTAAAAAAATTTCCATATGCAAATTTGAGTCCATTATAAGTATGTAGAGTATATGGGTGAAATATTACTGAACAATCTTATCAACACCATAAACATCAATAATAATTTTATGCTGCTGCTTTAATATTGTGCAAAAACATAAAAAATCAATTTTATAAAATTTCCTTTTTTTAGATATAGTAAAGATTATTAAAGAAAATACACGAAAGAGTTTTCCTACATTAAAGAAAAATTATTGTTAATGGTTGTGTTAGAGAAAGGGGAAGGAGTTGAGACTTTTTACCCGAAAGTTTTTTTTTTTTGATTTCTGTTAAATCAGAGAAAAGAAACTTCAATATTTTTATCTTAAACTTTATTTATTGTTACAACTTCTTCGTTTACAGCAAACAAATTATGATCTATTAAATAAAAATCATATGCATATTAAAACTTAAAAAATACATTTAACAAACATGGTTAGCAAGGCGTTGATATACTCTTAAATTAAAAAATAAAACAACAACAAAATAATAATAAAAATCATAAACTATATAAAATACTCATTCATACAGATAGATAAACAAACGAAACAGATGGACGGACAGTCAAACATACAAATAGATGGACAGACACTATAGTGTTAGATACGCTGCAACAGCTTATGCAACAATATCTGTGCAAAGTAAGTGACACCAAACAGTTAAACAACACCAGAAGTCTTACTTTTTTTTCTGAATACAAAAAACTACAAAAAAAAAAAAGAAATATTGTTAACAAAAAATGTTAAAAAATATAAAGTACTAGTATCTCATGTATTTACACAATTTGTCATACAGTATGCGTGTTGCAAAATATCTGCAATGTAGAAAAACACCAACAAACTATATCTTAACCGTCTTAACTCAGCAGCAATGTTTGAATGAAAAAAAAAAATTGCAAAAAAAGCTAAAAAAATGTTACAGTATTTTGTATATGCGTTCGAGGCGTGGTTTGTCTTACAACATTTAATACGCATAATGGATTGTTAAATATTTCATTTTATCTGGCAGTGGTGTACAACATACTGGATTGAAGTTTGATTTAAAAGAGCATCCAAAAGATGTTGCCACTTCCTTTGTGGCATGATTTAACGATATATATAGATATTTCAGATCAAGGTTCTCTCTTTTAGAAAACTATAAGTCCAAGTGCTTTACATGAACTCCTGTCGCGTTGGTCTTATTTCACAGCAGTATTTTTACAACCGCAGGCTGAGCTTAATAGACGCCTCACCATCACCCCTTTGTGCCTTGCACATTACTCCCGTTCAAAAACAGGCAAATAGGAAGAAAAACTGTTGATTCGCAAAAGAATCTATATACGTAATCTGTAACATTCAACCCAGTACGCTTCT